CTAGCATCCCCCTCGACAACCCCTACAGTACAAACGGTCAAGGTGCTGAGGATTGCAAAGTTGGTCTTCACTCTCCTCTGTTTCAGTTGGAGGCTGTCGGCTTTTTGTTTCTCCCCTTTGCTCAATGCAGCCAGCCGTGTGACCTCTGCGAAAGCCTGGAACTGCGTAAAAGTATCCGTCCACTTGCTATACATGATGTGCAGCTGGGTAACGGCCTCCCAATACCGATTCCAAGCAAGCTGCGTCCGGAAAACTATTGCGAACGTCACGCCTGCACCTAAAGCCTGGAAACCATAGTGGTGCAAAACTGATGGGGCAAACTCCCAGCCAATTTCTCTTAGATGATGGGTTAGGGCACCCACCAGCGCAATGACTGCACTTCCGAGCAGTGTGTCCCACCTGTAAAAGACACTCCCGTGCAACTGCAGGAGCAGCCAAAAGCTACTCTTGTTGTAATACAGCAACATGGCTTCACACACAGGATAGCATCACCATTTCAGGCTGCCAGCTGAAAAATATTGGAGTCTTTCGACTGTGAAACAGGGGACAGGCCCAGTCCCTGACACCAGTGTCAGCTACAAGTTGTAGGTTAACTCTAGAGGGACAACACACGGCACTGATGCAGCTTATCTCAGAGGAATCCAGATTGAGGCCGGGCAGAAAGTGGATGAAGGATAAAAAGCATGGACAGTTCTCATGGGCTTTCTGCACGTCTTGGATATGTATCTATGGGACTGGGCTTGCCGGCAATCCTTGAGCCGACGCAGGTCACAACAGCACATCCACCTAGCTTCCCCCCACACCCCACCAATGCGACAATGCTGGCCACAAAATGTCAGCGAACGATGCAGTTCCACTATCTAGTGACTCTCATAAGAACACTTCGGTCTGTGTACATCGCCTGAATCTCCAGATGAATGCTATGCCAGCCGTGTGCTTTCAATATGCGAATCCTCCCCTGCTGCTGCGTTGTTACTGCACTGTGTGGCTGCTCCTCCATGTCCTGCTACGAATGCTGTTCTCTAGGTTCTTCAAGACTGCTGCTGCCATGACCACTAGCAATGCCCATTGTTACCAAGCTCGTTATCACAGTAACGATAATTGCTGAGCTAATTCTCACCCGTCTCAAGAAAAGAAACAAAAGATCAGAATTGGATGAATTTCAAAAGCCGGCTAAATACCCTCATGTGGGGCGTTTCAAACATCGGGGCGTGCTTCATAGCCCACATTAATGACCCTTACTCAAGGATAATGTCACAATACGCGATGTCCAGCTTGTTTCGGCCCGCACGGTGCAAGAGCAGCAGCCGCCAGCGCCTCTGTATCAGGGCCCAATCAACAAGGCTTCCTTGCTGTCACTGAATAGGGACTGCAAGGGGATAGTTTCGGGGTCGTGGTGCGATCTTGCAGGGTTGGGACTGCACTGGGATATGTGGGAAATCTTCAAAACACCAAAGATACATGCGTTTTTCAAAAATGAAGTGCTTTTGGGGAGTACCCTCACAAGATTGATGTTGTCAGTGGTTGTGGCTGAGCATATAGCTTCCCAAATGCCATCTATCAGCTCCCTTGAAAACCTACTGCAGGCATCAAAAGTACTCCGGCGTGGTTGCGCAGGCAACAAGATAAAGGAAAAATCTCAGCATCATGGCCTGTTGACCATACATCCTTGCTGTGTTGCCATGGTGGTCTCGTAGCTCAACAATCCTCGGCAGTTAATTCACTGTTCTGTCCGGCGCATTCGGTGTCCACGCACACCCGCAACATATCTCAAGTTACTGTAACCCTCAAGCGACGAGTTCTTGTTTAGACAAAGTCAGCACAACACGCTCCACTTTCTCATGTTCCTTTGCATTCCTTCTTGGACGCATGCTGACGCCCAGCACGTGCAGACAGCCAACTCAACACCTCGCCAGGATGAGTACTTGTTTGGCCTGCTGCTCGCTGCACTGGGATGCTGCTCACCCCTAAGATGCTATAAGGCCTCTTGAAAACCAGCGCGGCCAGCCAGGTGCAAAGCACTCCTCAGAGCAACAAAACAGGGCTTCACACGTGTGGGCACAATCCGTCTGCAGCTCTGGCCATCACAACGGGAGGCTGTTGCGTGGAGCTGCGAGTTCGACAGAGCAAGCTGAGTCACAGACTGCCCTTTGCGATTCAGAGTGCTAACCTCTTCATGTGACCAGTCGATGAGTCATGAAGAGGAAGGAAGAGAGGAGGAAAGAAGAGAGGCAGCGAGGAAGGAAGGGAGAGTCTGCTCACCAGGCATGCTGTTGACAATTTGGAGCCTACTCCATCCAGGTCCTCTTCAGACAGCACTCTTTCCTCTGCAAACCCATGCCTCCGCCTTCCGCTCCACGAGCAGTCGGCAGATCTCCCTAGCCGGCCTTCAGTTGCTTTGCAGCACAGTCTATGAGTTCCAGGAGCTAGCAACTCTGCGCAGCTCTTCTGCGAATCCCACACCCTGCTCTGCTACAATTTGCCATGCCATGTCTATCGAAATTGTCTTCGTCAACTCGAAGCACCACCCATGCAAATACGAACTTGCCGGACGATGCTCAATGCAAGCTTTTTTGACCGCTGCCAGCCACTCCGATTGAGCTCCCAAACACTCTGGCTTGCGCAGCCATAAATCCGCTGCAAACCCTCGTCTTCACCTTACATAGGAAGACCAGAGCACAGAAAGGCATGGTAAAGATCGTGTGTAGGGCACATGCAAAGCAGAGATCATTCGGTTCTGAAACCTGCTACAACGACTCCAACTGCAAGGCTTGGGGCAGATGCACGCAAGAGGAAAAGGCTCTAGGGAATGGGTATGAAAGCTGCATCCATGTGGCTGTTGAAGCAAGCCAGGGCCTCAGCCCACAATGCTCACACTACTGACCTCCCCTGCTTCGTCCCTGTGGTCTGCCTCATCCACTAATTATAGCAGGGCTCTGCCACAGTCACGGCACGCCAGTGTGACATCTCACAGAAGCCTTCGGAGACGGCAACGGCATCAAGGCAGCTCCGCAGCGCGTTCAAGACCTGAAATTACTAGCGCTCAAGGCTGGTCACAGGCAAAATAAGGTCAATGCCTGCCAAACAAATCTGCATTGCACGTCATTTGACCGAGCTTCGTTTGCAGATTTTCTGGGCAGCTCCCCACGATTCCCCAAGAGCTGCGGGAGCACCAGGATTGTAGATGCCTGCAAGTAGGGTGGAATTTGGGAGTGCGCAGCAGGCATTGACATTGCAGCCTCGCGTTCGCGAATCAGCACCTCGGCCAGCAACGCCTGCTCGCTGATGTCAGAGCACGCAAGCCGCCTCTTGCACAAGGCTGGTGCGAAAGCACAGACCGCTGATGCGAGCCCCGAAGCAAAGATTATGGTGGACTATGGCTTTGCAACACCTGTGCACTCACTTGCAGATCAATATCTGGAACAAACGTGAACGGTGGACATTATCTTGGAGGGGGCGAGGCAACCACGACAGGAAAAGTATTTCCGGACCACAGCAAAAGTCTTGGATACCACGACAGGGTTGTTTGCCACAACCCGCCATCAACATTATGCATGCAAAGGGGCTTGGGCAAGTAAGGCGTCGCTCGCATCCTTTGCACATTTTGGACAGCTCAAAGCCTGAAACCTGCAAATTGAGGGGCTGCAGCTGCACACTCTTAAAAGGTCACCCAAACCCGTGACTCCTCATTCGGAGTTATGATGGCTAGAGTGTGTCATGATTACCCTACCCTTGTCGGTGTATCCCTCTACCCGTCGCATCCTGTCGCTGTAAGCCAGCACTTGTCATGGTAAGTAAACCGCCTTACGTCATCTTCAGCAGGAATGGCCTGATGCTGTCGTGCTCCCGGCGTTGCTGTCCCCAGTCCCCGTCGCAGGTATAGATGGCATGCAGCGGTTGCCCTGCATCCAGGCCAACGCTTGCAATGTTAGGAGGTACCTGAATGGTGCAAAGCACAACTCGGGGCGTCGGTCTCCACAACTCGCTTCCATATTGCTCTTCGAATTCCAACAGACAGCCATCCTCTGGGCGACGCCTTCGTCTCCGGGACAGGGATAGTCCTTGCCTCCGGTGAGTTGAAAGGTCACTTGCACCCAGGGGGTCGGAGACCATCGCACGACGAATTCGGTTCTTGGCGAGGTGAGCCGATAGCCAGATGTCGTTGTGTTCGGTGCAGGCCGACAACCTTGGAGGCTGTTCAAGTCCATCCAGCATTCCTCGCTGCAGGAGGAGCCCCAAGAAGTGGCAGAGTATGGGCCCAGCAGCCACATTGCTCTCCCGCAGGTTACGAGCCAAGGCTGGTCCCGCAACTTTTGTCGCGTAGCCGGCATCTGGGGGGCTGAGCGCGAGCCAGCCGTGCGCGCCAACGGCCGCGCCCGGAGTGCCGGCTGCAAACCGCAGAAGGTTTGTGGTGAGTTCTGGGTGGTACGTATGATCGTCATCCACAGCAAGAATCCAAGCACTTGGATCCTGGATTAGTCTTGCTGCTGCTAACAATCCAGTTCCAGGGCCGAAATCCTTGCCGCGCACGACCTTCAAGTGCCGCCACCTCCGCTGCAGCCTCACAAGCCATGGAGGAAGAGCACTAGGATACCTCAGCATCAACAGTAAAACAAGTCACCTGCTGACATGCAAGCAGATGTGTACTTGTATCTCTGTATACACTTACCATTGGAGATAATATCCAGCAAGGGGCGCTGCTGCAACACCACCGCGGCGCCACGGACCCCGCGGCACCACCAGGAGCACCTGCAGCGGCGCCTGCTGCCGAAGAAGGGACTGGAGGCAAGATTTCAGTTCCCTGCCAGATCTCAGCCTCAGCAGAAACGGTTAGTATAATGTAACCCAATATGGGAACAGTATATACCTATACTATAATATACCATAAAAATGTATATTATAATATACTATAATATAGTAGTTTCCATGTTCTTTTCCATTATCCCTATATAACCGCAATATGAACCCCATTGGGTTTAGGGGATTCGGTGGAATTTGCACGGCTATTTGGAGACCACTCACTGCTCAAGCCCCGCGAGGTCAGAAACGAAGAGCTAAAAACAGCTAAAGCAGAAACGCAACCGTGGAGGCGTTGTCGACAGGCTGGCAAGGACCCGCAGCTTCTTCCCAGGCGCTACTCCCATCAGTCTCCATCCGGGGGACGAAGCTGTCGTGACACCGACCCTGGCACTGAACCATATATGTATAAATATATATGCGTGCCCACATCAAAGCAGCAAGCGCACGCTTTAGCATTTCACAAAACATTTTCACTGGGCGCGGTCCAGCTGCGGAATGCTCGGGAGCCCGCCAGATCTTGGATGTAGTGTTCCTGTCTTAACCAAGCAAGAGCTCAAAGCTGGACACTGCCTTTCTCCAAGAACGAGCTCGAATGGCCCAACCTATGCTTGGCCTCCCCCACTAGAAGCTTTTTGGGTGGGCCTGATAGAAGTGGCAGCCAATCCAGGACCTCCCTTCCCATTCGGCCAACATGCAGTCACTACGACGGAGGGATGCAATGCCGGCTTGGGCCAGTCTGTGTAGTCTATCTCAATGCCTGAAATGCTGGAGAATGTTCCCATGGATGTTGGCTGGGCTCATGCACGGTTGGCTTGGCAAGGCCGGTAACTGTAATTTTCGGCAAAGATTGACTACAGACATGGCCAGCACAATCCGTGAACGCCTTGCTTGCATTTTCCATCGCAAGCTGGAGCTGCGCCTTCTCACATGCGCCAATGGCTGCACTGCACGCCACAGCATTCAGCCGTAGAGCGCGTGCAGCAAAAACGTTGAGGAGGAGAAGGCCTTGCTGCCAGCGAAAAGCCTTCTCGAAGGCGGACACCGTTGCACCAAAGGAGACCACATCCTAACTTGGGGGTTTACTATCACAGCAGTGGCTGTCAGCTTTGGCTCTACCATGGCGACTATCACATGTCTCTCGCTGATATTCTGATTGGTACGAAAAGCCTTTCCTCCATTAAAACCCCTATCCAAGCCCAAGTTATTCCACAACTGGTAAAGTATAGGGCTTTGGGTACATTGATCAGAAAACTGTTGTTAGTAGTGAGATGCCCACAATTCATGCTTAGATGACTGTCCAACGTTGTGATCTGCTTGGCAAATGCCCCACCTCCCAAATATTCGCCTCATGGAGATGTGGCTATGACGTAATATTAAGCCCAATTCTGCCCCCACACCCCTCCTCCAATTTGAACACCACTCCCCTCAATATTCAGAAGACTCTCAGTGACTTCTTGTTGCAGCTGAAAAGACATACCTCCTATTTTCCATTATCCCAATATAACCCCAATATACTATAGTAGTTTCCATTTTATTTTCCATCATCCCAGTATAACCCAATATACTATAGTAGTTTCCAGAGTCTATATTATAGTATATTATAATATATTGTTGTATATTATGGTAGATTATAGTATATTATAGTATATTAATTATAGTATATTATAGTATATTAATTACGGTAGAATATGGTATGTTATGGTATATTATGGTATACTAGAGCAAGCGTCAGCTGGGCCCCGCTGGAGAAAGGCCGCTGCCGACGCAGCTGCGAGCTTCCAGGCGTCGGCTTTGCCGAGGGCGCCTTGAGTCTTGGGAACAGTATATACCTATACTATAATATACCATAATATACCATAATATATTATAATATACCATATTCTACCATAATATATTCTAATATACGTCGTTTCCATTTTCTTTTCCATCATCCCAATATAACCGCAATATGATCCCAATATTAAGTTGGGAGTAACAAGTAGCAGAGGGCACCTCGAGTCTCAGGAAACAGCTGGAAGCAACAAGCAGCAGTAGCAGCAGCAGTAGCAGCAGCAGCGGCAGCAGCAGCAGCAGCACTGGTACTAGTATTATAGTATTGATATGTCAGTATTAGAGTCCGCTTCTGGTTTCCTGAAATGGTTTCCTGCAATGACGGGTGGCTTTTGCGGTTGTTGTCAGCCCTGGACAAAGCACAGTGATTGTTCTGAATTCGCTAGCCGAGCCTGCGTTCCTTTGCATTAGCCGCCAGCCCACATGCGCGCTCAAAATAAGCTATGGCAAAATCAACGCGCCTACCCAACAGCAGTTGATACGAGCTGCCCGTAGTAGCGATGTCTGTAACAGTATCCGGCTTCAGCATGGTGCAGGCAAGCTGGCGAAGAAGAACAACAACACCTTTCCAGCAAGAGTTTTCTTCCAGGATGCCCAAGACAGTGTTGAGCGTAACGATCTCTGTCCTGAGCCAGAGCAGATGCAGGGCAAAATCTACGATACGTCTATCACAGATTCAGAAGCCATTAGGTGCCCATGGAGATGATATGCCAGAAAACACGGCCAGACATAGAACACCAACACTAGTTGTCCGAATAATTATGGCAAATTGATTCAGGATGGTTCATGCATGCTCCCTGTCAACTGGGCGCCTGTCTGCAGAGCACTCCGGCCCGCAAACTCCAATTGTTGCAAGGCAAGTCCCCAGTCGGCTCGGCAAGCGCTCAGGAAAGCTCCAGAACTGATGATGTCCAGCTGAAGCCCAGGCTTGGTGGCCTCTGTCAGAGCAAGCCCAGCCTTCCAGGACTGAGCTTGCCTGCAAGAGCTCAGAAATGCGTTCTGAGCCACGGTGCTCACTTCAAGCATCCTCTGGTGCAGCTGAGCTAGTAGCTGTGAGGATTGTGCCCACTTCTGGTCCATTCCGCATGCTGCCAACACCGCTCCAAAGATGACGGTGCTCACTTCGAGAAAAGAGGTGGAGAGGCTCTGGAGCAACTGAAGCGAACGGCCCCACTGTGTTACACAAGCATGCACTGCCGACCCGTAGATGGCCAGATCGTCCTGCAGGCTCTCTTGTCTCACCACACTCAGAGCATGCACCGCCAAAGGCCACCTCCCGCTCTCTGCAAGCTCGCATGATGCAACCTTGAGGGTCCACAGCTCAAGCTGCAAGCCTGCTCGACGCAATTTGAGAAGCTGGTCGCAAATGGACGCCCATCGTGTCTCTGGTTTGCCGCAGGCTATGCTAAGCAAAGTGTTGCGGGCGTGCATGTCAACCTCAAGGTGTTGCAACAGCATACCCTTCCCTACTTCAAGGCCAAGCTCCCAAGCCTCTGTCATGGAAGAAACCATTGTGCTGTACATGACGGCATCAACTCGCAGTTTGGGGGATATGGACTTCAGGACATCCAAAGCCTGGCTCCACTTCCTGCATCCACCACATGCTGTGAGGCCATCCGTGTACGAGACTTTGGAGGCCTCGAGCACTCTACGCCGAAGTGCCTGGGCCCCGAAAAGCGCCCAGCGCCAATCCAAGCCCTTACTCTGGCCATTGATCAAGGTGTTGTAGGCTAAGGCATCAGGTTGGAGCTCGAGGTCCAGGCCAGAAACCACGGCCAGTGCCCTCTGCCATGCTGAGCTCCTACCAAAAAAGGGTAGGCCTAGGGCCTAGGCCTTGTGGACATGAAGCGGCCATGTTTTACTTCGCAAGCAAGCAGCGTAGGCAGCAGCCTAAAGACCAAGGAGGGCATCCCTTTTCAAGAAGTCCGGCCTGGAACATGAAGCCGCAACCGTGGTGAGGGCGATGATGTCAATCTCCACGCGCTCCGCCCGCATGATCTCCAGCAGAATGCCAGCAAAGTGCCATCTCCCGGTCTTCGCACACAAGCGGATTGCAGCGTTCAAAGCGAACTTGTCCAAGCGAATGAGGGAAGAGACGTCCGGGGGTAAGCCCGCTGCAAAGGCCAACAAACTCGGGAAGTTCTGCCTTGTGTCGGCCATGCAGCCGAACTGCCCAGAGGATGCAGGAGTCAGAAGTGGAGTCAAGACTTCCCATGGTTAGCCTACTGGTCTTTGGCGCACTTCTTCGATTAACTGGCAGCAGCACCTGCCAGTGGCAAGCGCTACCCAGCCTGCGCAAGCATGCCCAGGCATTGCGGTTGCCAGGGTGGCCACCCAACAGACCATTAGACTTGGAGCCAGTGCGGAAAATCTCTGTAGCTAAGTTGCAAAGCATGCAAAAGAACGTGTACGTTTCGGAGCATACATTCAGGCAGCTCCACTTTTGCATCAACACCCCGGTGGCAGTGAGAGGTGCCCAGTGAGACGGTGAAACGCTTGGTCCCCTGAAGGCGGCTTCGATTGTTTCACACGCGGCTAGTAGTGCTGCCCTTCGACCTGAGAGTGCAGCAACCTCTCCGCAGATTCAATTGTTGTGAAAACTACCCCTTTCCTTGAAAACTGCCGTAGTGAAGTATAGGCAAGGTCAGGCACAGTCACGCTGCACTGCTCAGCAACGATGGGCACGTGTCGGTCAGGTACAGTTTCAGCACAGGCTACCCTATCTCAATATCACCTTGGCAGATTGACGACACGCAGGACGCAGACCTCAGTAAGCTCGCGGCGAAGTGAGCCGGAACCCAGTTGTCGACTGGGCTTGGGAACGTGCCGACGTGCCTGCAACTTGTTCCAACGAACTCCCATGTGCAGGGTTGCCGACTCGAGTCAACGACATGGGCTGTCAGGAGCCAGGACGGCCCCCATAGCTGCAGGGGGCAAGAAGCCCATGCATGTTTTGCAGCCGCGTTGCCCATACCACATGCCAAAGCCAGGGCTAGCCTGAAGCACACGTAGCTGGTTGTGCCGACCGTGAATCTTCAAATCAACTGAGGAGCTGTGGAAGACTTCTTCGTGGAAGCGGATGTTATTGCAGGCAGGGATGCAGACTTCCTGAACACGGGACATTGTTGAAGTGGAAAATTTCACATCTGCCTGACTGCAGCACAGTTTCTCGAGGACATGGTTGCCAGCGAACGGGTTGAACCTGACAGAGCAGCCTTATCAAGCCCTTTAGTTGACGTGCTGGCAGTCTGTGGATTTGTCCCATCTCCATAACCTTCTGGGGGAGTGACCTGGATAGCCCTTTCCGGGACATCCTGAATGAAATTGCTCCGAAGGCAAGGCCCTCTCCCCATGCAAATGACCCGAAGCCCTAAGCCCTGAACTCTGAACCATAAATTACGAAATTACTAAATCCCCTAAGACCCCCTAAGCACTTAATCCTAAACTCCAAAACGATAACGCCTGGATCCGCTTAAAGCCCTAAACCCCCTTAAACCCTGAACCCTAAACCCTAAACCCTAAGCCCCCAACCCTGAACCCTTAACCCTATACCCTACACCTCCAGGATCCACAGCCAAGTCACTTCCGTGGAACGTGGCCCGCATAGTCCTGAAGATGCTTCGGGCCGGGAAACCGGCGATGCGCATCCTCAAGCACGGCTATACTTGGAGGGTCAAGGTTGAGGTTTAGGTTTAGGGCTCAGGGTTAGTAAGCAGGTTGATAATGGGGATATTTAGGACTACTGTGCGGGTTATAGGGGTCATTTGCCTATTGACTAAGTCCGCCTGACCCTCCAAGTAGGGCTTGCCCGGGTTTAGGGTTTGCATGGGTTTTAGGGTTTATATATAAGGTTTGGGGTTCATATGGGGTTGAGGGTGTATAGACTATCTAGGGCGAGACTAGGGTTGATATTTTTCAGGTTTAGGGTTTATGTGGGGGTTGGGGTTTCTAGAGGGTTTAGGGTTGATATATGAGGTCCAGGGTTCATATTGGGTTTAGGTTGATGTAAGGTTTATATGGGGATTAGGGTTTCTAGGGGCTTCAGGAGGAAACCCAATTCATTGGCCGTGCATAAGGTCATGAGATTAGGGGCCCCTTCATAAGTCTCTCCGAATAAACATTGATATGTGCTGGTTGTTAGTGGGGAAAGGGAAGCATTACTATGCTGGAGGTTTACGCACTTTACGGTGGTTGTATAGAGTTTGAGGGGGCATTACTCCCACCACTGCGGAAGCCAATGGAACATCACATGGAAACTAAGGTCTGTTTTAGAAATATCTAGGGTTCAAGGTTAACTTACTGGCTCTTAGTAAGTAACAGAGGAGCTTAAAAGAAAATGCAGACTGCCATTTCAGGTTTCTGGCTTGGGTTTGCTAGCACGGAAGGGAGGAAGGAATGGAACAACAATTGGAAACTACTATCTTGGGTTTAGGGTTTAGGGTTTAGAAGATTCCGGATTTAGGGCTGCAGTTGGGAATGGACCCCCATAGCAGTACCTACATGATTCCCAACACAATGTGCGTCCCCATTTTCTTTGTCATTCCTTCATTCCAGACCAAACGCGCCAACAAGCAAACACGTCGCATCATGGGAGGTGGGGAGGAACAGAGATTCAAGTGGAAGCCACTCGGTTATCTAGGGTTTAGGGTCCCAAAGAGTTACATTAATCACATGGAAACTCAAGTTCTAGAGGAGGCTATAGTGTTGTTGGGGTGCCTGAGCCAAGTAAACCACATTCTAACCAGTGAAAACTACAGCCAGAAGGTGGGTCTGAAGATAAAAACACTACTCAAGTGTAGTGGCTATGTTTGCATTGCAAGAAGTCAGCCAGAGCAAGATCATAAGGATTGTAAGCTTTGGGAGAACAGAAGAGAGGACCCCTAACATTGGGAAACTCCCATGTATCACCTCTACCTCTACGTAAACCCAGGGCTTAGATGCGTGCAGAACATGGTAACCCCAAACCCCCCAAATCCCTAGACCCTACATGTTTCTACATACACACATCTCTACATATCCATCGGTATCGCTACATAACCCCACATATGACCCTACATATCCCTACTTGTTATATCACCAAGTTCCTGGAGTGGCTTTGGCGACTTCTTTTTGGTCCAGGTCAAGTCTGGGAACGACGACGTGCAGCGCAGTGCCTGAGAGGCTGAAGATGGTTCACTGTGGCACTGGTACATGTTCTCTATGTGAGCTACCGTATAATCTAAACTCCTAGCATATCCTAGTATAGCTCATATGGAGGCAAACTATTAGCTAGGAGGCAAGGGGAAGGCTTTTCATAGATTGGGCGGGCCCAATAATCTAGATGCAAAAACACGATGATCCCTATTGGAAGGACTGTCTGAGAGGGACCCCTCATTTTTGGAAACCCCAGATGTTGACCATTTGTAGCAATAACAGTCACAAAAATAGTCGGTGTACTTTTAATACTGGTAATGGTAGGAGAAATAACTACAATAACAACTGCATAAATAATGATAACAGCAAAGGTAATCCGAAGAATAAGAACACAATAATACTAGCAAAAATCTCAATCATCACAGCATACTGGGAATATGTAGGGCTTCTAGCGTTTCCCAAGATTCCAGTATTTTGGGGTCTATATTGGGGCCCCCCTGTTTTCCAAAACTACCATGTTCCGAGACGCCTAAAAGACACCGTGGGTGCTTCATGTTTTGGAGCCCATTAATGATACATTGAGGTCAAAGCAGATGCTTCAAAGTTTGGCTCAACGCGCTCGCAGGGCTGGTGTTATTAGAGGCCCATTTGCAACTTGAGATACGCACTCATCCTGGCGCTGCATCCGCTGCAGCGTTCGCGCAGGGAAAGTCCTGGGCCAGTGCAGCTGCAGATTTGGAAACGGATCGCCAGGAGGTTCAAGGCCAACTGCCGCAGGGTTGGGGCTTCAGCGAACTTCAGTGGTATAACTTTGGCGGGGGCCAATGTGGTTACGGGCACCTTCCTAGCCTTTGCACCTTGTAGATCTTTGCAGGACTGTAGGGGGCTTGCGGGCTGTGAACTGACTCTCGGTGCCGGCCAGCTGCGGCGGAGGAGGGGCCATCGCTCTGCGACTTGCCACCCTGGCCAGAAACACACAGCTTGGGCCTCGTAGGGTAGAACAACGCATGAGGCGTTCTCCAAACAGGGGTGCCCTAGGCCTCTGAGTCCGCCCGGTATGAGCATTGAAACCCACCGAAGTCGCTCTAAAGCAACCCCCAAGAGTGCATGGAGATTGCAAGGAGATGTTGGGGCGAAACTTTGTGATCATATAAGTGTCATGCGGCGAAATTGCCAAATGGCTCTTCCAACGGGCACCGCTCTCGAACACGTGGCTGAACGTGCGATCTTGATCTAATCCCAATTTCGATGTCACGTGCCATTTGATTGGGCTTTGCCCTACCTATCTCCAGCCTCGGGCGCCACGGTACCGCTACGGGTGGGCGGCGGACTTGGGCCAAAAGGACAACGGAAGAATGGGATTTTCGCCGCAAGGAACGGTCCTGATTCAAGTCTCTGAAGCTCACATGCTGATACCGAGAAAGCGCTTTGAGGTTTTAGAGTTTAGGTACACGCATCGCATCAGACGCGCATTGTGCCAGAGTCCCGGCACAGCCGGCTAGCTGCAGGTTGCGGGGACCAGGGTTTCAACCTTTCGGGCATCCTACTTCAAAGTTCATAGGAACTCGCGCATTGGGTTATCATAAGTCTTGAGAACTCACAGTCGGTTTGTAGCAGTTCCTGGAAACTCATAAGTCGGGTCATCTAAGAAGCATGATAACTATGCTTCTGACCTTGGCGCACTTAATACTCATGAACCTTCAAGAATGCAAGACGGTACGGTCGAGGATGGCCTGTTTAGGTTTCAGCGTTGAGGGGTTTAGGGCTTAGGGAACCCGAAACCCAGTTGGGTTCTATGACGGAGTCCTGCGCTTGGAGCCTAGCCGTCTCAGCTTTGCGCCAATCTGAACTTACTGGTCCCCATATATGCCGCTGTAATGGTACCTAAATTCCCTCCCCCACTCCCCCTTCAGCACCAGTAAAGTCCCGCACGCGAAAAAGAGAGGGGTTTGGCCGTGTCGATCAGTCGCTTCAACCTGTGAGATGTATGTGGTGGCAGGGCGCGCCATGTGAAGCAGCAGCACAAGACAAATCATCCAAGGCCACCACATCCGCCCTCGCAGAAAGAAGGACTTTGCAAAGCTCAGCATTCCTGGGCTCCGGCCAAGCTGCAGTTGGTGCTAATCTGAGGAATGTGCTTTTGGTGGTTGAACCTAGTAAGAGTATATAAAAAACTACTCATGTGAGGTTTTGAAGGGAAGCTGCATCCTGATGAAAAGTCAAGGCAAGGACCCGTCAAAAACGGCAATGTGCAGAGCGGTGACCTGCAGTTTGCGCTGTGATTGTTTATATTACTATTACCGGTGATAATTGTTACAGTATCACTTTCATGACTAGCCTTTAGACAGGAATGTAGACACACTCAAGATTTCTCTTATTATTGGTTCAGCAAGCAAGGTATCAAAGATGTCCTAACCAGCTTCCATATCCCTAAAGCCTTAACTCTAAGCTCTGGGTGTCCGGCGCCTTTGGCATCTGAGTCATTAACATTGGCTTTTGCTCTTAGCAAGAGCCTGGCCTGCAGCCAGTGAAGGGCTCAGCTGTTGCAAGGAAGAAGCCATAGGCTTGGTAAGTCATCAATCTTACTGCAAAATGGTCGCCACTCCCCCCTAAGCACCGGTAAGCTGCTCCTGGAGTCCTGAAACGGGATTTGCCAGACCCCCAAAAGGATCTAAAAATTAGATCTCCTAGAACCATAGGGGGAATTATATAAGGATTATATAGGGGTTATAATGGGTCTATATAGGGGATCAGATTTTAAGATCCTCCGAGGGGCAAGACCTTCCGGATCCAACAAAGATGCGGGAATCCAAAATGGCATCAAGGCTGCTTTGCACTCGACAGGAGAAACTCCTACTTCTTGCAGAAAGCCCTGTAATTCTTGGATTCTTATTAGGGTTTAGGGTTTAGGGAAAGAGGATACTGGAACCCCCAATCCCCGGAACGAGTATCATATTGTAATCATAGAATAATAGCTTCGGGGTTACCAAACTCCTCTTCTCATAGATTGCAAGCCTACCCGGTTTGGCCACCCACCCATCTCAGTCAGCCGCAAGGTCAGCACGCCCTGCCCGCACCACAGCGGTCAAGGGGCCCACAGACCTGGGCCCCGAAGGGTTTAGGGGCCTAGGGCCTGTAGGGTTATAGGGCTTTAGTGAAAACTCAGGCCATAAAACCCAGGCAATAGTTGAAAATATAAACTACTAGATTATTCAGGGTTCAGGGTCAAGTACCTAAACAACTTGAATGATGGAGACCCGGATGGAGAAGAAAACCAAAGATTACATGGACACCTGGGCTATTAAAGGTTATAGGGTCCGTGATGTATTGGCTTGAAAAATCAGAAAAGAGTCTTGGGTCATATGATGCTGCGGCTAAGTCTGTAAGGGGTGGGAGAGGATAAGACTACGAATTACTCAGGCTTCTTTAGGCCACTCCCTTACAGCAGTAGTTACCACAGCAGGGAAACATTACGCTCTAGACTCCCGCTTGCAAACTATTGAGAAGGGCACAGTTGAGCAATCCCCTGCCCCCTACCCCCACCCCAATAACCCTTGATAAATTCATGTGCTTCTCGATTTGTGCATGTCATATCCTTGCACGGGCGCCATGCCAATCTTCTCTGTATCCCTAAACCCTAAAGCCCTACACCCCATTACTGCGGGGAAGGGGGTAGCTCAGGTCTATGCCCGGTCCAGGTAGAAAGTGGATCTGGAGCTGCCTGCAGTGCACAGCGGCACGTCCAAGCGTGCGCGTGCGTATGATTCATCTACCGTTGATACTCCAAACCCTGCGTTAGCTTTGTATACTATAATGCCGTACTTCCAGAGGTATACGGTACTCAGGGTCATGCAGGAGTTTTCCTATCAACCGCATGAGCACCTTGAGAAACCTTTGGAGAACGCGCAGTTGTTGCTGCTCATCGTTCGGTATGCTGCCATCCTGCGAACAGTATCTGAAACGTGCGTCATCTACATTGTCAGCACATAGTCGTACGTTCGGTCATACACATCGCAGCATCATCGACTGAAGCATTTACAGGGGGGATCCCTAATCCTACTACCTACCCTAGATACCCCGCCTGTAGTCTTTATGCACCTCCCATACTGCAAGATAATCCTCATGTATCACCTGACCTGACAAACTTCCGGCCTCCAATAGCTCGCACTCCACATATACACACATCTACATATATGCACACAGACAGGATTATGTGGCGCTTTCCATAAATAGGCGCGCCCAATATAGGCCCCAAAATGCTACAATCCTATTTCTGGGTCTGCCCTATACCAAGCCCCTTGAAAGGAGTGCTACTCTTGGAAGTCTCCCTTTGCCGTTATGTGCTGTAACTCTAATGCTGTCAGCCCGATGACTTGGCTCTGTCCAGGAAGGGCTCCAGGACCTGATTCAAGGTGCGCTCGTCCACCTCCTCGGCATGGACAACTCCAAGCAAATACTAACGCGCAGCTTATAATGTTACATACTTTTATACACCCTGTGCCGGCACATTCGAGAATATGTGCCCTGATGTGTACTGTTACGCCTGCTATGCCTGCTATGCTGCATGAGATACTGTCCTAATCCTTGTTCATGCGCCTCAGCCTGCGCAGCCTGCGCCGCCGCATCATCGCTTAGCCTCTCCAATGAGGGCTTGCTGCTGAACAACTCCATGCCCCCGCAGCAGAGCTCCATGTCAGCTTCAGCTAAATAACCCCTATATAATCCCAGTTTCCATTTCAGTTTCCATTTTCTTTTCCGTTTGATTCTCCATTATAGGGCCCTAAACCCTATAAATAATGGTAGTGATGGCTGAAAGATCAGTCAAAGCAAAGGTTAAGTCTCATCTTGCAGCTGAAAAGCCTCTCGTGCACACAATGAGGCTTTTCGTATATTGGGGTCTAGATTGGCATCCCATTATTTATGATACTCATCTGCCATTGTATCTTGAGCCACCCCAACCTTATGCAAACCTGCATCCCCCACATCCCCTAAACTCCTAGCTCCTGACCCTGTAACAGTACGCTCCATGGTATTCTGGGTTGCTCTTCCGTTTTCTTTTCCATTATCCCAATATAACCCCTATATAACCCCAATATACTATAATATACGATATAAGCCTATATGGCAGTGAGTCGAAACCCCGTGCCCGATGGCCCGCGCGGACAAGCCTCTGTTACATACCCTTGAAACGCGGGGCTTGTTACATACCCCTTGTCGCGCCTTGTCGCGCAGCTAT